AAGGCATCATTACAATTTAATAATAAAAAGCCAGGCTATGAACAGACATGACAATTGGGGTGGAGTGGGGGATGCGGGGAAGAGAAATTAAGACAAAATGTGCATTCTTCGGTTCTAAAATTAGCTGTAACATTGCATCTTTCTCTCCAAGATGGTGGAAACAATATATAGAAGAGCTATACAGAAGAAATAAAAAGATGACAAATTCCTTCACAGAGAAATCCTGTGAGGAAGAACCTGCAATGTTAGAAGGTGAAGTGAAAGCAGTTCTGAGCCCTGGGAAGGAATAACACACCTGGAGTAGATAAGGTACCGGTACAACTATTCCAAGCTGCTGAGACTGAACTAGTCTAAATCTTAACAAAAATATGCCAACAAATATGGAGAACAAAATAAAGGCCCACTGTCTGGGTATGTTCAATAGATAGATAAACTTTATTGCAGTCAAAAATCAGCTCCATTCAGGAAATGTTCAGTATACATTCCAGTCCCCAAGAAGGGGAAAGGGGGCAAAAGAGTGCAGCAACCGTAAGTCCATTTGCGTTAATTTCCCATGCAAGCAAAGTGATGCTCAAAGTGTCGCAACAAGGAATTTTGCCCTATATGGAGTAAGAAATGCCTGATGTTCAAGCTGGATTCTGAAAAACAAGACGTTCCTATTGTAAATATACATTGGCTACTGGAGTGAAGGTTTTGACTGTGTGGATCACAAGAAACTATGGATGGTCTTGAAAGAAATGGGTGTGCCTCAGGACTTGATTGTCCTGATGGGTAACCTGTAGCACGAACAAGAAGCTACAGTCAGGACAGAATATGGAGAAACTGAACCGTTTCCTATAGACAGTGGTGTCCGACAAAGTGCCTGGCTGTTCTGCCTGCACACAGAACATATAAGGAAAGAGGGATTAGAATCAGGGGGAAAATGAATGAAAATTGGTGGCAGCTCCAGCACTCATTTAAGATATGCAGATGATACCATATTGCTGGCAGAGAGGCAACCATGGAGTAAAAGAATTCCTAATGAAAGTGAAAGAAGAAAGTGCAAAAACCGGACTGCAGTTGAACATTAATTTAAAAAACACACCTCGTGACCACAGATGACTTGCACATCTTCAACGCCAACCAACTGAAACTGTGAAAGATCATGCAAACCCTGGCTCAGTGATCAATTCAGAGGGAGAGTGCAGCCAAGAAATCTGAGGAAGAATGAAATTTTGGAAGGGCAGCAATGAAGGAACTAGAAAAGAACATCAAGTGCAAGGAGATCAAGGCTAAGATCATCCGCAATATTGCATGCTTGATCACTCCATATAGGTGCGAAAGCTGACAGTGAAGAAAACTGATGGAAAGAAAATGGATGTCTTTGAAACATGGTGCTTTAGAAGAGCTTTGAGAATTCTCTGGACTAACAGAAATACATGCAAATGCCTCCTAGATCTAATCAAGCCAGCACTTTCCCTGGAAGCAAACATGATGAAACTGAAGCTGTCACACTTTGCCACATCATGAGAAGGCAACCATGCCAGGGAAAGCTGAAGGCAGAAGGAGAGGAAGATCAACTGTGAGCTGGATCGATTCCCTAAAGGAAGCCACAGCCCTGAGCTCACCGGAGCTGAGCAGGGCTGCCAAGGAGCGCATTCGTTCATCTGACTGCTGCAAGTCAGGGATGACTTGATGGCACTTAAAAATAAGACAGTTTGACCATCTGTTTGAACAGAAATGTGTCCTGTTTCTGGCTCCAGAATATTAATTGGCCCATTTGCTGGAGAGGATCTCTGAAAAAGACAAGTGCCTTTCTTCTATTGCTGTCACTACTGACTGCCCACCTTGTTTCTGGTGTGAGAGGTGTAAAGAAATGCAGCAGTTAAAAAATCTAGAAGCCCAACAATGTTATCCCCTCCCCACTCCACCCCTCAGTTGCTTACATCTGACAGACTGGATTTATGCTGGGCCTTATTTGGTCAGAGTCTGAGAACCTGTTTTCAGAACTGCTCTTGAAACCTAGAAACAAACGGTTTTAGTTTAACATGTACAAAATACCTGTCCTTGCTATTAAATAGCAACACAACTACTCTATGCACCTGGAACTGGGACAAAAGACTTCCACGTTGGATGGGATGGCTGCTTTTTGTGAAGAAAATGGATATCCATTTATACTGTTTTTGCATAACACACTCGGCAAGGTTTACAAATAGTATCTTAATCAAACATTGAGTCCTTTTGTTTTGTTTTCTAAATAAACCTAATACAAAGAAAAACTAAAAACTACATCAATCAACGGAAACATCGAACCTACTGGGTCAACCCCCCACATTTTTTCTTTTTATGTTAACTTATGAACATATTTAAATCTATGCGAAGCCCCGTTTCTCTAGCCAATAATTAAAAGAGTCCCAAGTTTGATAGAAGACATTGAGTCCTTTTGTAACCACCAGATTTGCTTTGCCTGCTTGGAGGCTCAGCACCCTTTGCAAGGAAGAATACTGTGAAATTTGGAATTGTGTGTACCTCACAACTGGCAGAATGTTTTGAGCAGATTGGACTGGGCCGATCCAGAGCTAGAAGCATCTCATATAGAGCTGAATGCACTGCGGGCTCAGAAATTCTCACCTTTCCAGGTCCTCTGCCTGATTCCTCCCACTCTGTGACTCTGGCAGTGGATGTTTGGTGCTTGGGAAGGGGCCAGGTGACTTTGGGCCAGTCGCTGCCTCACAGCCTAACCTACTTCTCAAGGTTGCTTTTGTTAGGGTAGAATGGAGAGGTAGAGAACCTTGCTAAATCACCTTGAGCTCCTTGTCAGAGGAAGGAAGGGGGTATATAAATGTGATAATAATGTAATGTAATACCTGTCATTAAACTAGAAAAGTGTTTTTCCAAACTTATTTGCATTCTGGGCAAGTATAGGGATGCCTTTGCATAAATTTGTTACCATGAATGTAGTGAGAAATAAGAATGAAAAATCCAGGGCCCTCCCTGGTTTTCCAGAGTTATATAATATGCATGTGTGTCTATACAGGCCTTGTCCTTAGGGCTTACGGATGCGCATGGGTACAAAAGGCGGATTTATTTTGCACACACCACCT